AATCAGAGTGATGGGCGTATAGAACTTAACCTGCCTCACTGTCAACTCGTTGTGAGCTGATAAGCAGACCACATCACTTGAGGACTGTTAACACTCAATCTGTCATGTGGAAATGTTCCACCTTTACAAATTTTCATATCTCTATAAAGACAGAATTTTCTTACCGCCTCAGACTGAAAACCTAATAAACGTGAAGAGGGTCATCATCATCATCTTGAGTGTTCTGGCCTTGTCCAGAGGTAGATAAGAAAATCAGTATGTAAGTAAAGTCGGGACTGCCTCGGAAATTTATTGTATTTACGCTATTAGCAGAGGGAATTATCGTCCGCTGGCGCATGAAGATTAGTAGACAACACGTCCTAATCATATCCCTAAGAATGACTTGAGCATAATCATTTTGCCACATTGACACTGCCGTAGAATTTGTTTCGAAATCTCTTATTTCTAGTACTTGCTTGTGCATAGGAGTGACAAATTCATAAAAATCCTCGATAGTAAATTACTGGAGCCCAGAGATCTTCCTCAATTTCTTACACATCATACTCTTAATTAATGTTGGAGTAGCTTTCATTTCGTTTGAAGAGGCGAATGGAAAGGACTCGGAAGTTGGCCTCATCGGACGCTGTAGGCGGATTGCTTCGGAGCGGTGAGTGTAGATTTGCGCGAATAGGTCATCGGCGAACCGACCTGCAACTCGTCCGTTGTGCGACAGACATCGCCAGAACAGCACATCATGCCCCACGATAATTCACCACCACAAGAAGACAAAAAAGAAGGCAGGTTGCAAACCTACCTACTTCGAATACTTCATTTATAAGTAGGTTTTCGAGATTTCTTATAGCTCAATGAGACATCCCGTGATTTGGGTATCCTATGCTTTCCTTAAATGTGTGCTGAAAAAGTGAAGTTGCTGCGGGTGGCCTGTGAAGTGGCTTAACTATTTGCAATTACCTGAAGTGAAAGCGCCTCTGGGCATTTTATCAATTCGACAAGCAGTATGGGCTTCTGAAGAGTAAAGTTCATATTTCATTTTCCGTCTTTATAGTTCTGGCATACTTTTGTAGGAATCCCTTAATTCTAGCCTTCAGAAGCATTTTTATTGTCTTTATCATTTGTTCAACCTACTTAAAAGTAAAATATTGGTTTATCTATCATTTCGTTCGAAAAAATGAGTGAAAAATATTCGTAAGCAGGGACGGACTGCGTCCGCACAACAGTTCGCCGAGAACTCGGCACAAATCCATTCACAGCTGCGAAGCAAGCTTTCTTCAATTTCAAATGAGGCCATGTTGCGAATCTTTCACACACAAAATTAAAGGTATGAAAACATGAATTTTTCTAAGAGATGACTCAAAAGCCAGCTTCTCTTAATAGTGAGTAGCAAATAGAGCTGCAGAGCTAAATGCATATAAAGCGGTAGATAAAAATGTAGGTGAATAGGGAGAATAAGCATATACCATCTTGCATGCCTAGATTAAGTTGTATTCTACAAACTATTGCGCCAGAAACACTGACCGCCTCATAGGGACCCACCAGAATGCTGGTAGATTGGTTCAAATGATGTGCTTCCCCGTCCGGATAAATGGGCGCCATGCTGAGCGACTCATCACGCTGGACGACCATATCTGATGAACAGGAGAGCGGGCCAGTGACTTCATTCTCTCGATCGGCTTGGCGTTCCGAGTCGGAAAGTTGCGGGGAACTGCTTTTCTGCAGTCTAAACAAAGCAAACACAAGTACGAATGAGTATGCGAGTACACGATGATAAGTTGTTAAGGTTAAAAATATGTGGATAGTTGGAGAGAAGAGAAATCCATGAATCTGAGATCGAATTGGCTTGGAGACTTGTTTCCCGTCGAATGTACCTGATTTAATGTACCCTGTTGACATCGTAGAAATGCGGACGGGAAGGTTTTATGGGATACGAAGCGTACGGTGATGGAAAGATAAGGAGATTTATCGAAAAAAGATAAAAAATATTCTATAAAAGCGGACGAAATAAACTAAGTGGAATTATTTTGTTATATTTAGTGAATGCAAGAGAGGCGAAGGAAATAAGCCAACTGTAGGCTAACACAACTTTTCTCCTTTTTATTAACAATATACACACTTGGGCCGAATCAAGCAGCTGTTTCCAAGTAATCTTTATATGAAATGACTGAGTGGGCAATACAAAACGGCAAATAACAGGGATAATTGATGATGTGATATGATCCAAAAAGAAGTAAAGTCAAAGGGAGCCGTCGATAAATAAAGAAAAGAGACGTAAGCAATCAAACCACAACATGAAATAGATTGGTTGAAAATAACAAAAAAATTTAATCGGGGGCATGAAGACCAAGATGGTGTGTTTTTTTGTGTGGTCGCAGTCTCCCTTCGTTGTATAGAAATTGTTTGACCTTGTTTTCGCAACTTGGTCATACTGGTAGAAAGACTAAAGGAGGAACACACCTAGTCCGGAGTCCATTGAATGCATCATAATTTCCAGAGTAGGACCGTGGACGTGGCACATTCCCAGAGGTGATACCACAACTGTTTAGTACACGGTGGGTCAAAGGATCGGTTTCACATGTCCCTTTGACGAGTTGTAGTGTGATGATAAGAATGGAAAGACTCACTGACGATGCCGGCGAAACGTCTGAGAGCGCACCTGGTCCGGAGTCCATTTTCTGCATGATCATTTCGAAAGTCGGAACGTGGACGTAGTCCATTCCCAGACGTTTCGCCGGCATCGTCAGCGAGTCTTGCCAGTCTTAGCACCACGCTACAACTCGTCAAAGAGACAAGTGAAGCCGATCCTTTGACCAATTGTCTGCAAAACAATCGTGGTATCTCTCCTTCCGCCCCGGACTAATCCCTAATCCTATATCCTCATATCACGCCTTTATTATCACAATTTATACTTGCTTATTTAAATGTGGTATGGTGTTCCCTTTTGAGCAGCTTTCATAAGAACTCTCCACACTTCACGCTGGATTTCTCACCCCTCACCCCCCTTTATCCTTGTGCTGGGAATGTTGATCAGAGTCTGCTCTATTGTTACGCAGTCCTCTTTCCCTAGGTCTTATCAGAGTCTCCCTCTTGCCCCGTAGGATCCGTCTGCCCTCTCCTTGGTTCAAGTATTTCACTCGACTCCTGCAACCTCATTTCTGCTACTCGAGGCGTTATTTGCCATACTCTGCCCCTGGGAGACTAACTTCAAGTTAAAGGCCCACGCAATTCTCATCGTCAAGCCTTTGCTACATGGTCTACGTCTGTGGTAAAACAGACCTGTTGTCAGCCAACTAGCTCCAGTCTCCACCGCGTCTATCCTGTTACTCAGTGTTTTTTGATTCTGTCCAGTTTATGAATTCTTGAGTTCGAAATGTTGTGGTTTTGCGGAATCTTTCTTCACATTTCAAACATAGCAAATGGGAAAAGGCAATACCAGAGGATAAAGATATTTATGAATGTAAAGAGAAACCATGCTTTATAGTATCCCTTGGTAGCTTCATGTTGTTATACCTTTAAGTTCATTTGTAAAAGTAGGCTTAGATGGTATTCATAAATCAGCCCCACCGAAAACCAAACAAGGACTTCCAGAAGTTATTACCCTGGATTTGTTCGAAAAGTCCTTTGTTCATCGTCCTGTGTTCCTGATAAATCGGTGCTGAGCTTCCTACTTCTTATAAATTAGTTTTGCTATCTTACTCAGGCATGATAGTGTGTCGAGGACTTATTCGAACAAGTCCAGTCCGAACTGAAAGGCAATCCTCCTTCGGTTTCGGGTGTGGCCAATTTAACAACCCCTTTCAGCCTCCTTGTCAGCTATTATGGGATTCTACAAAATGTGACCTATCTGCACATCCACGAATTTATTTTTACCCCAGTATTTCATTGGTTGCATTTGGAAGCTGAACCAATTAATTCTCAAAATAAGTTGAACCATGACACTCGAGAACTCAATACCTAGACCTCGTCGACTGAGTACGGGTCACTATAACGCAGACAGGGTTTCAAATTGGATCTTGAGAAGGCGCAGATTTGAGGGTTGGTGAAAATTTCCTATTAAATTGTATGATTGCAGTAGCCGTGCCAGTTATTCCCTTTTTCCGTTTTTCTTGATTAATGACTCGTTCAAGAGTGACTTGGCAAATTTCAGTGAATTAAATACGAGATAAATGTCTAATTCACTGTTAAGGTATAAGATAAAAGCGAAAGGTGGTCTTGCATTTCCTCGTCTTATTTGGCTTTATTGTAAGACTATTCATCTTATATAACCTATTGTAACCATGTACTTAAAGCTTCGAGGCCTGCTTCTATCAAATGCACAATTTTTTCTTTCAGTGATTAAGGCTGTCGATTTGACAATACAAGCCAGGGGGGCACAGAAAATCTCACATATACTCTTTTTTTGCTGTGACTAGCATATAGGAAGAGAAAATGTTTCTCCATGAATCTGCTGTTATATGACTGGTGAGTTGACTTTCATTTCGTGTAGAATTGCGTGTTGAGAAGATTAGTAGGAAGATCACACGGATTCTTCTGATTCTGTTGTAGTTTACTTTTGATGGGATATTCTGGCTGGCACCACCCTCGAAAGGCCCTTTTTTGGCTACTCTGAAAATGTGCTGAGTTCTCTTCTATCCAGACGCAAGGCCTAGCAATGGGATCTTGCTTGGCTCCAAGTTTAGCTAATAATTACATGTCAAGAATGGACAAACACTTAATGGAAGAGGTAAGATTGACAACAAAACTGACTACTTTACCATATGGCAACATGGCAATGATATTTTAGATAATTTCTTGTTTTTAATTAACCAATTGAAATGGAAGATGAAGATAAACAATAATTTACCCTTTTTAGATGTCTTAGTGATCAGAAAAGGTGAGAAGTTGAGCAGGGATGTCTTTAGAAAGCCAACACATGCTGGCTTTATATTTAACTTCTTCTCCAATCATAGTTACAAAACAAAGGTTGGAGTTTTAAAATCTATGATTAATCGGAGCATAAGACTAGCCGATAGATACCATCAGCTTTAAATAATATTTCTTGAGAATAATTATCACCTAGGCTTGATTGAAAATGACATTAGATTAATACAGAATAGATCTTTCAATGGTGAATACGTAAAGAGAGATTAAGAGACCTCTTTTCATGTTTTGTCTTTATCTTCGTGCGTTCTCTCTAAATGTAGAGGTGAACAAGTAAAGAAGTAAGGAATAAAAACGGTCTTCAGAGAAACTACGACACTTTCTTTAGTTATGCCCAATTTTGGAGAGAAAGTGGACCCATTATCCAGATCGGGTTGCTACAAGATAATGTGTTCTTGTGGTCGATTTTATGTTGGAGAGACCTTTCGTCCCATTCGACAAATGGTGGCTGAACAAAGGCTGTTGGGTTCAAAAATCGGAGCTGACTGAACACAGGCCAGAAACGGGACAAGAGAATGAATGGCCTCAAACTGCCAGGGTCTTATTAACACACCTCTGAGGGGAGTGGAACCCAAGTAGTTTGGCGAATATTTTTGACATGGTAAAAATATTGCGGACTCACGTGGGTGTCAGTGAGTTACAAAATAGACTTGATCTTGAACGAAAGCAAGGCCTCTCCCATATTACATTATTGTAGTTGGATTCTCGACGAAGCATAAGTATACGAAGAAAAGTTGGGTTTAGAGGAATCTCTTGTTTCATAATTGTTGAGCTTACTTTCATTTCGAGTGGAAGTGTTGGGTGAAGAGATTCGAAGGTCGGTTCCACCAGAAGCCGACGGCAGATTCCTCTTGACCAGTTGTCGATTGGCTTTACTGGAACATTCATGCTGACGCTGTTTCCAAAGCAATCTCCTTCGATTCCGGTGAAAAGGTGCCAAGCTTTCGTCAGTCATGTGATGAACACCATCAGAGCATCGTATCATCATTACAACAAATGAGTCA